TATTTATTTGCTTTCTCAGAAAGCAAATAAATAACAACATACATGTCAACTTGTACAGATTGTCCATAAGTTATAAGGATTTTGTGTCATTTTGCAGGTATACGGACGTATAGAGCAATCTCACGTATTTTTTCAAGTCTTACGGATTTTTTCAAAATCTCATTTTCAAATTTATCTAACATGTCAGAGCTTGTAGGATGATTTAAAAGACAATAAATGACATTAAATAGCCATCTTCCAACCTGTTCTTCCAGTAGAATTAAGTTTTGAACTTTTTCTGCTCTCCATTCCTTCTGCTTCCCAGAACCCCCCGCGAGTTGTATGGATTATTTGCAAAATTTACAGATTTTTGAGGCTTTTTACACAGGTAAACATCCGAAGAGGTTGACATGTATGGGACAACAAAATACAGACATGTTATTGAATTTGTCAACAAGAATCACTACTTGAGTGGCACTACTAGCACTTCCCCTGTCAGAGTGTCGGAACAGGACGAGTCAGTGCAACGTCAATCAAATGAGAGAGATGGTGGGGGCGATTGCTGCATTGGGGGGGGGGACGTTTTATGGGTAGAGTGGTTTATTTTTCCTGTAATACTTCATTATTGTTTTTTAAAGACAAATCTAATTGAAAGGGGCGCTGAGCAGAGTTAAAACCAGGGATTACAAATAATTACTTTTTTCTTTTGCAGTTTGGCGCCCCCTCCAGCAGATGGCACTCTAGGCGACTGCCCAGTTCGCCTATGCCAAGAGCCCGCTCTGAGTAAATCTACTATAATAATATTTCAGCATTATGTATTTCACATTTAATCAGTTGTACATGTTTCAGTGTTTATAAGAGGATGAGTTAAAACACTGTTTCTATGCACAAAACACTCCGTAGAGCTCAGTTAATGTTTGTTGTTGTGGTGCTCAGCCGTAGCAATGAGGAACGTGGTGTTTCGTGTTTACTCAAAGTTAAACAAAACATCAAAGTTATTTTCAGCTGGCTCTTTGAGGGCTAGCATAATGCTCTCAGTGAAACCCCTGCCTTGGAGATGTGTTCAGCACAACTCTAAGCTAGTTGTAGCTGAGTTATAAACATCTCTGTGTATCCTGAGGTTAATTAGCTCGAGCAGCCATCTTGAATCCGGTCAGTAATAGATGTAATGATCTTTCTGAGAGATTCTGAATCTGATCTGTCCTGTTGTTCAGGAGATATTTTGCCAACAGAGACAAACACAGATGCAGGCAATAGTGTGCGATCATAACTGACATTTGTTCACATTGAAATCTTTTGGTTTTYAAACCCTAACATGTTTAATTTATGTGCTTATTTTTCTGGAAGGGATTGTTTATCGCTGCTTGCAGGGTTTTATTGTAAAACAGTAATTAATCTTAAAATTTATTTCTAGTCTTTTGTTTTAAGAATAGTAAGATCTTGGTTTATTTTGTTGTGGATTATTTTGTAGGGGATGTTTGCAGCTTACATGTGACAGATTAATGTGTTTTGTTTCAACGAGGGCTGGAAGCTGTTTTGGATCACTTGACTTGTCCTTATTAGCCTGTTTTGCAAAAAAGGTTGACATAAATTCAATTAAAAGCATTTTTTTACCCCTGCATTTGAGCCAGGACATGTCCCCCCCCCCCCCAACTTTCTTCATTTGCATGCTTGTAAATCATCATATTTCCAAGTTACTTTGTTCCACACGTTTCATGAATACATCAGATATTTTGTAAGACTTCTAACTTTGTGAGGTGAAGCCTTTGCCTAATTATATGTCTGCCTCTGTGAAGAGGATTTAGATAAATCCTTGTTGTTTTTAAATGCTGTTTTCTTTATTTTTGCTTTAGGCAATCAACACTGAAGCTACAGTTGTACAGCTAGTTTTGTATTTCCTCAAAGAAGCCCAGAAGATCCTGAACCATGACTCTGTTAAACTCTGCTTCTCCCACGTTCATTATAGATTCATTATGTTGCTCTCTAATGGCGTTCATCAGAACTTGTACTCAGTGCACACCCATATTTAAAACAAAAATAAAAACTTTTTTGTTTACAGTTTCCAGCCAATTTGCACAGATCTGTAATGATGGGTAATTAGAGTCAGAGCAGACATCTGATCTGCTGACATTATCTGATGAGTAATTTGGTGTTTTTGTTAGTCTTTTAGTATTTCTGCAAAAACAGCACAGCTTTGGTGTACACTGTACAGTATACAAAAAACAAAACCTGTAATTCAGAATGGTAACATGCCACATGAAGAGGCCACTTTCATGATTGTATTTTTGTTTTAATTTTCTATAAATTTTGGCAGAACTGATAAAAGCTTTCCTGTGATTGTGCGTCATTCTTGCAAGTTATGACTTTCATAGGTGGTGGTTTCTACTCTTTCATTATATTATCAAACACCCACGTCTGGGCTTCTCTCTCCRAACTTTGTAGCTACTAGTGTAGTCRTTACATATAAAATGTCAAAGGCAGCAGTATCAAACTCATTTTCACAGAGGGTGACTTGTAGTTAACTTCAAAATTTTGAGTTTAGTTTCAAATAAAACGTGAAATATAACGTTCCTGTTAGGCTGAGGACTGCTAGCAAAAAAAATAACTCTGCTGTATGGTGTTTCCTGCATAGAACCAGCATTTTAACATGTAAACACCAAAAAGTACTACTTATCATCTGACATCTTGAATTCGGAACACTCACTTTCCTGTACAACTGGGCCAAAAGAAGCCAGCAAAAATGCAGTGAAATGGAGATTTTATGCATCAAGTCTCACCAGCTCCTCCACCTCATGGTGGTACGCTGCCATTTTGCATGTAAAATAATCGACATGCATTATGAGAGATGTAGTTTATAGTCAATGCTGGCTTTAAAGAAGAATATGCTTAATTTATTTAAAAGACATTAATACATCTTTGAACCTCTCTCGGGCCACGTAAAAGGCTGTGGTGGGCAACATTTGGCCTGCGGGTCTTGAGTTTGACACACAGTTTAATTTAATTACAACTGACACTGCCACCATAATGCTCATGTGGCCCTCGGTGAAAACGAGTTTGACGCGTCTGCTCTCACAGCTTTTCTTTTAGGACTTCTTTGTATTTAGCT